TTTTCTCTCTATTCGAAGCGATAGTCAAAATAATGTATGACAAAATAATAGAGCCGTCAAAACATTTGTTTCTTCTACGAGTCAAAACAACGGTAATTTCGTAGCAGTACTATCTGCTATAAACTTCACGATCCCGCTAAACGTCAGATGTAGGCATGTCAGCGTATAATTTCATATGGATATCCCGGAAAGATTTCTTTTTGGGATTATTTTCTCTCGAAGTAAAATGAAAATTTCTAGTAAAAACTACTTCTTCCCTTAACTTTACTGGAATTTGGGTTTTTTCTCAGATATGCATCCCCTACCCCCTCCCCCTCCCCCACAAACCTTACACTGCCCTGTTATTCATACAGGACTGTCCGACTGTAATCCTCGGCTTTGTCAATGGATCAATATCAGGCAAGCTGCATTTAACTACTTTGGCGATGGATCAACTTCGGAAAACCCCAAAACAAGGGCAACTGTTTCTACGATGACGGGTAGCCGATTAATTTCGAAGTATGTACTTATGAAGAAGACGCCCTTCGAAACCGGTCCTTCGAAACGCCCCTATTCTCTTCATATTATTATGGGTAGCAGTACAACTAAAGATCCCACCTTTAAATCTATGGGGGAGAAATACTGTGGCATCTAGAACACGGCTTTTCTTGTCAAAATGGTGTGAGCACCTTTTGGCTGCAATTTCATTAAAATTATAACGAGGAGTTCAAGGTGGTCCTAGCGACGAGATCCCTTACATAGCGACCCACCCACATTGTCGACATATAACCCATAGTCGGGTAATCTTGAGGTGTTGATAATGCTAATAATTATAAACGCCAATTTATTCAGCATTTCTGTTTGTGTCCCAGTTTCGAACAAAAAATAGGGCAACCACCCACCATGTATTCATGAAAAAAGACAAAAACCCAAAAATAGGGTGATGGGGATTGAGCAAAGCGTCTTGCTGCTGATCCTACGCGTCCATTGATCGTGTCATGTCTGGCAGAGCACGTGAAGTGTAAGGTCAAAAGCTAATTAATAGATGATTTGAAGGTTTGTTGACTACTCATTTAATGAGTGTAGAATAGGCGTATGAAGGAAGTGTTCCTATGTTATGAAAAAAGAAAAAAAACTTATCGTCCAATTCCATTGTACATATGTATATATAATATATGTATATATAATATGTATAAAAGTTTTTCTTATTAACTTTCCCTGTAGAGGGTAGACAATGACCGCTGTTCATTGTTCTTTATGAACACGATCTTATATTTAAACCTCTGGTCTAGGAGCTAGTCCAGAAGGTAGGAAGATTGTAGCAAATTGTAGCTAACGATAATTCGGTTTCTATATGTGAATGACGATATATTTATCAGATAAGAACTCGATCGCCATTACGACGTTATAGAGAGCCCTTCTGCCACTTTCCCGTCCCTCCAGGATTTGGCATGAAAGGATCCTCGAAACGCGCGTACAGTATGAGAAGTAGCTAATCACTTCCCCCATTGTAACGGAATATGAAGGATGGTTCGTGGAATTCAAGAACTACATAGAGAGCAGATCAGAGACTGCTATTAAGCACTTCGTATCCGTTCGAGATCGAACATCTCGAGGCGAGATCCCTGGCTGGTGCTTTACGAATAAGCTGGCCTTCACTATCCGCGGCTCAGCAGCTGTCTATGAAGTCACCGATTCACTATCGCAGAATCAGCCCGAGCTGGAGCATCAGGAAGTGGCATATTTATTTATCTATTTATTTATTGGAAATGCTCACAAAGATGCGCTTCAGCAGCAAACAAGAAAACGAAACCAGTTACAATTATAGACAGCAGTGAAGTCAAAGAATAGCAAATTATTTAATGCAAATAATATTTAGATTTTTGATGCAATTTTTGAAAAAANNNAAAAAATTAAAAAATATACAAGGCAATAGCAGTTGCGACCACTAATGATTAGCAACCTCTCGCCGGCTGTTTGTTGCCAATCCCGTTAGCCAGGTAGACACAATTCAGTGATAACCTTCGAGGTCGGGATTACGGTAATAGGCGTAAGTCTCCAGGATTTCTCTTACTCATCAGGACACAACGCTCATCTATCAAGTCGTAGGCAACACACTATATAGGGTTCTCGCAAATCGGCTGGATCCCAAGCGAGAAATCCCTATGTTCTTTCCTTCCAGTGTTTCATTAATAACAGCAAAAAACAGAAGTTAGAGCAAATGTATAAAGAGAGCGTGAAAAAAACAGTCTATTGAACATCATTGGAATCGTCGCTTGAGTAGCGGCTTCTTTTCAGCGACCATCTCGGCTCGTAGTTGGGAAGAGTATAGGCGTCTCCTATCCTAAGAAGAATCTTCGTTAGACGGCCCAGCTGCTGAAAACATTCGAAATATGAACTATTTCATATGAACAATACATAATGTAATGGTGGAAAAATTAAGCCAACTTACACCTCCAAGGAGGGCTCTCAAAGGTCTCGTCAGCTGGAGCAGGACTGCTACCAGCTCGTCAATTTTGGCGTAGGCCTTATCTTGCTTTCGGGTGGCCTTTCGGATATTTTGTCCCCAAGTGACTATGAACTCCAGCCGAGCTTCGCTGAGGCTGAGTTCCTTGATATGTTTAGCGCAGCGTTGGCAAGAGGTAGGCTAAATTAGGTGCAAAGTTAATTATGTTCAAAAGAAAAGGAAGTTTAGAGAGAAATGTTTAAGATAATCTATTCTGCCACAAAAATTTCCATCATTGCAGCGTGAAACTGCTCTTCGGTTAGTTTCTCGCACATTCTGTTCTAAGCAATCATATAGAAAACATTTCTAAAACCGAAAAAAGAAGATATATATTTAGGTTTTATAACCTATAGTACAAACAAGCATCTTTATGCAATTCATTAGCACTACAAAAAAAGAGGAGAGAGGGCTGCTCTCATACCTGACGAGCGTTTCCTTCCCTCTGGACGCTTGGCGAAAGTTTGGGGTTGTCGTCCATGCAGTATGCCGACTTGTGGTCGGCTGGCTTGGTCTTGCTGAGCCCATACTTCCTGAAATACTCAAAATCATTTAATAAAAAACTTATACAAGAACAATTATACTCACTCTAATGCGATAGAGAAGACACTTTATCTCCTTTTCTAGTGCTTGGTACCGCTTCTTGCGCTCCTGAGCTTTCTCGTAGGATTTTTCGCAATGTTCAGCGTAGACGAGTGCCTCCTGCTGAGCCGCCTGAATGGCAAACCCAACGTCGTACTTTTTGCATTCATACTCTCCGTCATTCATGCAATTGGGACACCGGCGCTGAAAAATATATATTGCTTAAAATACGAATAATTTCCCTCCGAAATCGAAACAAAAGCCCACTTTCCCTGAGTAGCGGCGTCGTCATCATCAGAATAGCATCCTTTGGATAAGCTAGAATCACTGGAGTATGGCTCGTCAGTGTGTTTAAGGGAGAAGTCGAAGAGTCCTCGTTGCTCCATTTCGTTTTTCAGATATTCTGGAAAAGTAGACATTAATCATGACTTAAATGTAAAAAAATTAGAGGAAGCTGGAGAATGACGAGATGGAACGGCATAGAGAAGGTAAGACTAATAATATGAACTGACGCACCCCGTATTTATACCCTTTTGCCCCTTTTAAGCCAGATGCCATTAGCAGTAAAATAGGGCTTGATCGACATGTATACGGCGGGGAAACAGAACCCAACCCACAATTAGGCCACAGGAATTAGGGACTCGAGGCCGAGCTTACTGTAAGGAATGGAGATGTCGTATCCTCGCTACCTGACCGCCTGGACGAACACGCTCATCAATCACGCCGTACGACGTTCTACGGAACACTACAAAAGAAGCCGTCTACCGACCACCGGGCTGCTGCTGCCGTTGCTATTCTCTTACTCGCCTAGCCTCGCGAGTAGCGCCCATCGTATCGGCGCTGGCCAACTTGCCAACTTGTTCTGGCCTCCCCCTTCACCCAGTCATGTTATAATGCCATATATATACATATATATATGTTATAAACTACATACATGTGTTCTGTGTACCCACTCATGAACTCACGTCCCGCTACGCGATCAGTTATAGGTCTGACCACCCTATAATCTGATAGACGTCTCCCTGAACTGTTTTTATTTTTTTTCGTTTTTCCTACCCGACTAGGTAGCTATGCTAATTTTAAGGCATTTTTTGACTTCATTGGATGTACCCTCTGAGAACGCTGATAATAAATTTAGTATTTCCTGTAATTGCATAAAGTGAAAAANAAAAAGCCACCAGGGGCAAAGTTGGTATGAGATGGAACAAGTAGGATGTAAACAATAAATTTTCAATATGCAGAGATCAGAGTCCATTAAAATCTTGTGCGAAACAACTGCATATGTTCCGTAAGCTCTTAAGTCAGGCAAAACGCTCTCTTCAAGTTCGGGAATCTACATGGTACGAGTAATTTGTTCAAAAATGATCTAATTACAGGCAAAGGGCCATATGAGCAATATGGCTACAGATACGAAAAAAATTGACCTGCACAGGAATGCACAAAAACATGAAAGCACAAAACCCATCCAAAGGAAACCCTAAGTATAGGTCAGGATAAGAAGTAGGTATGAAAGGGCAAAAAAGAATCGGATCATATGCAGAAGTGTACAGAAACACGAAAATGCTCAAGAACATCGGATGGCTTGTAATATAACACGACGTTTTGTTGTCCCGTAGGGTACAACGGGACAACAAAACGATTGGCGTTTAGGGTAGGTCATGTTTGGGCACGCACATATACTTGATGGAAGGCTCGAGGTCCTGCAGGGGGATGCCATAAAGTTCCTAGTCTGGTTACGTCGCACCTCCACTTACTCGCCTTCGGGGTCACCTCGCCTAATTTCTAGGTTGCCTACCTCTCTCCTAGACCAGACTCAGCTGAGCCGTTAAAGAGGGAACTCGTTAAGTTTTGAAAACGAAAGAAATAAAGCGAAGCAAAACAAAAAACAACTTTGTGTGAACATAAAATGCACAGCACTGAAGGCAATGAAAAGACCGCCGGAAGAAAATGTGGTCAAAAGGCAAAAACTTCAAGAATTTCTTCTCTTGCACAAGGATCCCCTGAATACCCCGCCACTCTTTGCGTGACTTTGCTCAACGTCCCCATAATTTTCCCCAATTTCGAAGCGTCGTATGTGTAAAGGGTTGGAGATTTGTGACAACCAGGTTATACTGTTAAAGGAAATATGTTGTCTGTGAAATTTTGCATTCTTTGCTATTTCGCCATAAGGTCACTACTGTAGGAACTGAGCACTTTCTGAAAGTTCGTTCCTGTTGTCTTAGTTAGCGCTTCACCATCTTGGGACGCTCTGCTCTTCACATGGCGACCTACATTATCTAAAGCAGTCAACTATATGACATCATTGAGCTGTTAAATCGAGGTAGGCTTTAAACCACATCCTTCAAAGAAAATCACTCAATGGAATTGGTAGAACGTTCAATTGCACCACAGAAAGACGGGAAACCCTTTCACAAAGGAAGAGTCCTCAAGACGTGCCTACCTGCAACAGAGAACAGAAAAATGAAAGATTGTTGGGAAGGTGTCTCACTTCCAAGGTTTTTATGTTGAACACTCAGTTTCCAAGCGAGCCTTTCAGCACTCCCGGACCAACAGTGTCTACATGATTTACTGGGTACTGGATGTAGGAAGGTAAATGTATCAACGACAGCTCAGTTAGGTAGCATCGACTGCCTTCGATGTAAACCCATGGCAACTGCAACATGTCTGTATACCATGAAACCGTGTGAAAGACAAGGTAACGCGGGTATACAAGGTGCCTCTCAAAAAAATGTGGAATCAGGTAGCCGATCCCGGAGGTATAGAAAGCTCACTTGGCAGGTTCGATCCCTCGTCCACGAGCGTATTATAGTGCGCCACTTGCCAATACACCATCTCCCTTTTAATTTTGGCTTAATCATTGATAAATTGTTGAGAAGAGCCGAAATATCCGTACGCAGCAAAACACCAAAACAAGAATGGGAGGAGAAGAACACGTAGACTTCCTCAAAAATGGGAAAATTCCTTGGCTCCGGAACCCACCACGATCGTTTCGACCCACAGGAAAGTAAAAATATGCGTTTCCATTTACAACAGCGGATATGAAGCCAGGCATCATACATTCGCGAAGAGAATGTCTATGGTGTGCAATGGCTGAGAACAACAGGCCATCGTCTCGGCCGCCACTGCTCATCTGAATGGTTCGAAAGTTGAATGCCATGACGCATCCCAGAAAAGGGAATGATGAATGCCAAAGACTTGATACTACTCCATGGTTCCAGACGAGAAGGCGATCGATGATATGATGGTTTATCAGTAGTGGATCGTTTCTGGATTTGAATAGAATCCTAACAACAAGAGCGTTCATACAAGTTGAAGCTGTAACAGGAGCCATGAGCCACAGGCTTCCTTATTCCCCTTGTCTCAAGCTGTAGCTGTCGGTTGACCCAAATTGAGATGGTTTGGGGTTCGTCTCTGTTCTGGCAAATTCCGATCTTCAGCCGTTAGGGCTCGAACAGCACCGACCGGGCGAAGCTCGCTCTGGCTTCTAACTGATGAACACGGCCGGTTGTGTTGTGTCTGATTGAGGCCCATGACCACTATTTTTCGAGGTGCCAAGAATTCCCTTTTGGATTACTCTCCGGCTCAGGGTGAGTGATTGCCGTTCGATTCCCGCAACAGAAGCGGTGTGGAATAGCCGTTATGGGAAGAAGTAGGCAGCAATGTCTTGCATCTTGCAAGGTCTTACAAGTTGTAGGTCACACGGGTGGCTGAGACGTTGACCTGGACCTGCAATTCACTGCACGAAATGCAATGGAACATGGTGCTGGTGTACCATTGATTCCTTATTCTTATTCGTTGTACTAGTAATTACCTAGGAAAAAAGGTGACAGATCAGGTATGGAGATTTACGACGTCTAAAGACGATTGATTTGTAGATGTTATATGGTAAATTGTAAAAGTTCCTTGGTGCAACCTAGTGACACTTTGAGGGGCGACGACGCTCGGTTCAGATGATTAAAGAAAAAAAACGAATAAAGACGAATGTGAGACATTCAGACATGTGGGACTCTTATGACCGACTCCAATGACGCCATATGTTATTAGAAACCTTTGGAATTCGGAGTTTTTTCAATTCGAAAAGCACCCCACATAGAAAGTTAGGATGCTCGGTGCCTAGGTCAGCGCTTCCGTGGCGCAATCGGCAGCGCGTTCG